CGTTTCTCCAGATATAGTTCAAAAGGAAGCATGGCTCTGAAGCCATACTATTCAATATTTTGAAGCTCTTGACAGAATCTCTTTATCAAAGAAGAAACTTGGACAATTTAAAATTTTAGATCTAATTTCTCTTCTACTCTGTTGGCAGTATTTGATTGTTTGTGAACTTATTTTGAGGAATTAAGAGAGTTCTACTGTATGTCTTTAGATCCAAATGGTTACTAACCACCAAATGGTTACCTAACCACCTTTCCCATCCAGCTGCAGGGATCCAAGAAAAGAGGCATGGTTCACACAGTTGGATGTGTCTGTTAGCTTTCGAGAATAAAGACAGAACAAACCCCGATGTGCTCATATTCATTCAATAATATGATTCGTTATTTTTGCACTCAATTCCACACTCTTCTCCTGTGACTCTCTCTGGCTAGGTTATGGATACATACTACTAGCGACATTAAAGGCATGTTTATGTCATGGTCATCTTGTTGCCAATTAAATACTTTAAATTACTGATGCCTACTCAATGCCTGAAGCTGTGTTCATGAGCAAAATAGACAGGCCCTTCACCCATGGCTTACCACAGTCTAGGGAAGAGAAAAAATATTTTTCAGACATAATTATTTATGTAACAATTGTGCTAAGTGCTTCAAAGAATAAGAGAGTAAAGAACAAGGTTAGGAACTCAGAACAGGTATCTTGGAGGAACTGACATTTAGTTAAGGTAAAGAGGAGTAAGCGCTAGCCAAGGAAAGATAGAGTACAATGTAACTGCCACAGGAAGGCACATAGAGATGGGGGCAAGAATAACGTGACAGGCATAAAATTAAGGCAAAGTAGAGGAGCCCTGGTGGCACAGTGGTTACATATTGGACTACCATACTAACCTAGAGGTTAGTGAGGTTAGCAGTTTGAAACTACCAGGCACTGCCAGGGGGAATGATGAGGCAGTCTCAGAAAGCCACAGGGGAAATCTACCCTGTCCTGCAGAGTAGACATGAGTCAGAATTGACTCGATGGCTCTGGTGTGAGCTGAGAGGAAGTAGGGGAAGATGAACTTGGGATTGGTGTTAGTGGAGCAGCTATTTAGCACCTTGTAAGGCAAAGAGCTGTGCATCTGGGACACGGAAGAGGAAGAGATATTTAGGCGTACATTGTAAGACTGCTCCAGCTCCTCTGTAGAAAATGGAAGGTGGGATGGAGAAGGTAGCAAGGTGGAACTGCTTGACAATTAGTATAGTCGTCTCTGTGTCAATGGCTTTTTAGGGTGAAAGCATGGCTCTCATATAAATATATAATCACTGTGTCAAAGATTCTAACTCATAAATTAATGAGGGAAGCAGTAAAGAGTTACAAGGGGTCCAAAGAAGAATTTAAAGAGTCACTAAATTTATATGCATCAAAGGAAAACTGAAGTAGACTGCAATCACTGAAAAAATTGGTCTGCTACTGCCAAGAGAAAATAACCAATTACACTCTAACTAATTTTCTTCTTGAATGAAAATAATTTGCATTATTACCAGTTCTTCCCAACTTACAGAGTTGGAACTCCCTGCTTACTGAAAGGCTGGCGGCTTGCGTCCACCACGTCAGTGGCTCCTTGGGAGAAAAGCTTGGGATCCGTTTCCCAAACAAAAGCCAGTGAAAATCCAGCAGAGCCCAGTCCGACACGTGGGGGCGCCATGAATCAGAGGCCACTCAACGCTGGTTTGGGTGGGTGGGTGGGTGGGTTGGCTAATTTAAAGTAGCTCAAAGAGAATGAAATACCGAGAAAATCCGGAGGATTGAGCTTGGCAGGATACCCTTTTGCCCATTTTCAAAAGTATTTTGCAGTTTTTCCTATCACACATAGCATAATGCCTGAGAAAAAGAGAGGTTATCAGTAAAGAGAGAAAGAGAAGACAATCTCAGAGTCTACATAGTTATTGAATCATCAGACTAATTTTTCCAGTGATTGTAAGCCAATTTCCGTTTCCTTTAATGCATATAAAGTTCGTGGCTCTTTGAATTTGGGGCTCTCAGAGGTTTGCAAAAACAGAAGTCTAGTCGATGTTCATAATGTAATGTACTTAATCAATCAATTGACATAGAGTGTGCTCCCCTCTATATTTTGCCAGAATCCATGCTCTCTTCACTCTGTGCTTTCTGTCACCTGACCTACAGATCCTGGGATGCAAATAAGCAAAGGTCTCCAGCCTGCGACCTGACCTATGCACTTCGGACTTGCCAACCCTCACAATCTCAGGAGGCAAACTCTGCTTCCCTTCAGACATCCTGGATGATAGCTGGCATAGGCAGTGTAGGTCACTGGAAATGGTCAGACACTGCCACTTGCTAAAACCAGATATGGGCATACGCAGATGTTACCTATCTGTGCCCATAAAACAAAACAAATGAAAATTCCATTTAAAAGGGGGAAAGTGGCTTCATCTGCTTTGGGATGATCTTAAATACACCATCCAATATCTAAGGGCCCTTTATACTTGTGACCCTCCGATCAACGTGACTTTTCACATTCCTGCCCACACTAGGAGCAAGAGAAAACATCCCTCAGCAAAAACAACACAGTGCTACCAAATCATCAGCTGAAAATTCTAGGATCAGAGAATGTCTAAACTCTGCTCTTAGTCAGTCGTTGTAAAACAGCCTCATTTTTTTCCCCTGAAAGAAATACGAGGTTATGCGGGAGTGGGGAGCGGGGAGGGAGGGGAAAAATGAGGACCTAGTGTCGGGGGGTTTAAATGGAGAGAAAATGTTTTGAGAAA